GCTCAGTAATTAACAGTTAAAGGCACAGTGTTCCAGACATGGCGGAAGTCTAGTCCTAGACTAAAAACTTTATTCAATTTAAAACTTCAATATTTTTCTTTTGGTCTGGACGAATTTCTAATCCATGTCTGGAAAACTGGAAAGTGTAAAAACAACAATTAGTGGGTTTTCAGGAGCTATGTGCCAGCAGGTTGTAGTGACCTTCTAAATTCACCAGCGGTAGCAGACAGTGAGTTTCCTTAGCTCAGCACAAAGGCTGGACAAAGGGGGTAAAGCTAGCATGAGTATGCTTCCATTGAAATAAGATAAATCCATCTGTCAACACATCTAAATTTAAAGCCTGGACAGTCAAAATCTGTCAAGTTCATTCACTAATATTGTATTTGCCTAATTCTGACAATGTAAAAACACCTTTACCAACACTATATGTTTTGGAGTCTGTAAGAGTATTTAGTTAATTCATTGGGTTTCATTTCCCCAGCATACCTCTCTTTGGTAGTTGATATCAGCCCCTTGCATGATAAGCTCTTTAACACAGTCATAATGGCCGCTGTATGATGCCACCATCAGCGCTGTTGTTCCATACTGGAAAGAAACATTAATGAGCATATTTGTTTTGTTGCAATGACCAGGTAAACAGTGTAGTGATGGCAGGGATGAAACCACAGAATTCTGCATATTTCTGGCTTAACATGCAAAGCTTTCAACTGTTTATAGGACAAAGAGAGAAAGAGAGAGAGAGAGAGAAAACAATTAATGGATGAGGAATTGTGATGGTACACACATGCACTACATGAACCCCACAGGTAAGGCTTGAAGCTTTCTGTGTCCCTACCACAGGTGGAATATGGTTAAAGTGTGCATCTGAGCAGCCACAGCATGCAGTGTCCATACACTGTCTCTGCAGTCTGCGTCCACTCGCCCGCTGTTGAGTAGCAGTTGAAGCAGAGCCAAGTTCCCCTTCCTCGCTGCCCAAAACACAGCATTAGCCAGGGGTGTTTCCTTCTGGAGGATAAATACACACAACAACACAAAAACTGACCTGAAAGTTACCATTAGAGCATTAGGAATGCTGAGAGCAGACAGTAAGGACAGCAGAGTGCATCCAGGTGTTACTGTTCAGTGTTGTGATGCACCTGAATATGAATGACAGGTGAGTCATCAATAAAGTGTGCCAAGAGATTAATAATCATATTTATGACATCACATCACATCTCAACCAAAGTTAGGGTTTAAAGTTTGTGCTAACTTTAAGTCTTTACCATAAAATTTAACAAGTTACTCATGAATAATGGGGACTTGCTTTTTGTCCTCAGAAGAGGGGGACATGTCCAAAATGTGCGTAAAATGATTTGTTTCCTCTCAGTACCGGTAATAAAAGGTATGTGGACATACTTGTGCACGCACATTCACGTGCACGCTAGTACCATGGGCCGTTTGACATGCTATTACATCAGCAAATCCGGATGCACACACACCGAGTTGGACTCTATGATCGCCCAGGCCAGTAAGCAGCCATTCAAATGTCAGAGCAAGTGCTACCTCACCGGGCTCATAGTGAAACATAGCAGATCGTTCAATAACCCCCAAATAAACAAGTCTGCACTTCAAGAGGAAGCGGGTGCGATCAATTACCTTATTGCGGCCCTCTCAGGCTGCGTGCACAGAATGATGGACGGAGAAAGCTGGTTTACCTTGAAAGACATCCTGCAGACCTCATTCGTGACTCATACTTCTTCCTGCGCACTCATTCATTAGACGAGATGATGAGCGCCACTCGCCTGTTTTGCCGCACTGACTTTGGGTGTTGGCGGCGCCCGATCGCGGACATAATAACGGGGAGGCACAAAATCAGCTGAGCTCATCCTCTGCAGTGTGTCCTGCGAGGGAGCAACACCGTGGGCCAGCAGAGGGCGCTGCTGCTCACACTGATGAACTGTATATAAATATAGATTTATGGCGTGAAGCCATGGCTATTAAGCAACCTACATTTACTCAATACTGCACTTAAGAGTAATTTTAAAGCATTTGTGTTTTACTATACTTCACTGTAACCTACATTTCTGGAAAAAAAAAACTTCGCCTTTTACTCCACTATTGACATACATATAAGGAGATCATTGTTAAAAATTAAACCAAGGATCTAATCTTAAAGTCTAAATAAATGAAATAAACTATAATTATTATTATTATTAATAATAATAATAAATAATTAATAATGTGGTTCGTGTTTAAAACGTTAAAACTTTGAACAAGTGAGCAAAGATTTGTAGCAACTGAAAAAGAAATCCCTCTCTGTTAAGCCCTCGTATTGATCTTGGGGAATTTTCTCTGAAACTTTCTGTTTGTGTTTTAGTCCTAAATTATTTCAGAGAGCAAAAGTCTGCTGTGGTTATCCTTAGTTCACATTTCTAAGAAAGAAAGGATAAATCCCTCATCTTCTCAGAACAAAGATCCAAAATGTCCAAACAGAATACAAATTTGTGTAGCAGAACTTTGCTAAAATAAACTATTATACCAAGTATGAATGACTTAAAATGAAGCCGAATATGGCAGTGAAATCCTGCTTACACAACGGATCTGTATGCCTGCAAGCTCTGTGCTTTTGGTTAAGTTTTAACTACTGTTTATTGTATGCACTCTTGAATGCAGAAATGTTACCCTCAGCTTTCTTACATCAGTTCACTGGCACTTTTATTTAGATAAAGTTCCCCTTTCACAGTTTGTTTTGCACAGTTATGTGACGGTTGTTGTGCTCAATTATAAACCAGTATTTGAGGGATTTACACAACTGCTGCTTTAGCTGTCTCTAAATGATTACAGCACTATGGCCAAGGAGGAGCATGATAAGCATCTTATTTTTGTTGACTAATGTCCTTCTCAGCTGCTGTCATGAGTGTTGATTTAGGGATTAACTTAAAGTATAGTAGTAACATGTACTTACTGACAAGCTTTATAAGGCAGGTCTGTTTCAGTGTCACTGTTCAGAGTTGCTCTCAGAATATGGGACCAAAACAGACTCACATGCATGAAGGTAAGCTGACCAGAGCTTTTTGTTTAATATCAAAAGAACAACTAATCTTATATAATGTTATATGTCTCTTTTATATGTTGGTTTGTTCTATAAAATCCCTTAAGTCTATTTTCACTGTTGATTTTTAAAGAAACTAACCTAAGCTAACATAAGCTCAGAGAACACTTTTTATATTGATTAGATTTCACTTTTCTTTTGATTGATAATACAGTTGCAGTCAGAGGGCTCATGAGGCCATCCTTTCAACATGATATGATGAAATATGATGAATTATACATATACACAATGCAACTGTGCAATGCTCTGGTCCTTCTAGTCCAGCAGGCCAGCTTTCTGCTGAAAGCTGCTCTGCTGTCCGTCCTGCTGAGTGGCCTGCAGCACGTGCTGGCAGACTCAGATGAGGAGGCCCCAACTGAGTGGGAGATCTGGAAAAGCAGATATGGCATAAGCTATGATGAATCAGTGAGACAGCCTCCACATCTAAAATCCTCACAACAACAATAAGTGCAAATGTTCTCTAACGAAAAGTCCACATGTTCTCTAATTTATTCGAGTTTTTCTTTTGTGTGCTTTTCCTGTGTTAACCATCAGGATGACATGGAAAGGAGAGCCATCTGGGAGGAGAATAAGCAGTTGATTGAAGACAACAACCGAAGGTTTCTCATGGGGATGAAGTCATTCAGTATGGCTATGAATAGATATGGAGACCTAGTAAGGAGTATTGTTTTGTTCTAGTAGAATTTAGTAGTAGAGTAGAAGTGTTTTGTTTCAACAAAGAACTTAACCGGAGTTAACCAGCTCCTAAATGTACCTACTATTTTCCACAAAGACCTTAAAAAAAAGAATTGTCTGATTAATTGCTGTAACAAACTGTGAATACTGTGATACTGTGAACAAAAATTGTTTTACATTTGCAGACACAACAAGAATACCGGGTTTTGCAAGGTGCCAAGATGAATGCTCAGTTTGTAAAGAGAGGGAAAGAAGTCTCAGCTCGAAGACTGCGTAACAATGCAAGGCATTTAGATGGCTATGCTGTTGACTACAGAAACATGGGTTTTGTGACTGAGGTTAAAGATCAGGTAAGACTGTCCCTCCATCACATGAGTGGGTATATTCAGACTGAATCACAATCAGATCTTTGTTTTAAATGTTCTTTGCAGGGCTTTTGTGGGTCATGCTGGGCCTTCAGCACTACGGGAGCTATAGAGGCACAGCTGTACAAAAAGACAGGTCAGCTGATATCCTTGAGCGAACAAAACTTAGTGGATTGTTCTAAATCCTTTGGTACCTATGGGTGCAGTGGTGCCTGGATGGCCAATGCTTATGACTATGTGGTCAGCAACGGGCTGGAGTCTTCAAACACCTACCCATACACCTCAGTGGTAGGACTCTGCTGTCTTATCCTACATCATAAAAAAGTAAATAATTCTGCGGACATGCTGCGGTTAACATTTATTTCTCTCAACAGGACACTCAGCCCTGTTTCTACGACAGCAGGCTTGCAGTTGCTCACATCAGGGACTACAGGTTCATTCCCAGGGGAGATGAGCAAGCTATGGCTGATGCTCTGGCAACTATTGGACCAATAACAGTTGCTATTGATGCAGATCATGCAAGCTTCCTGTTCTACAGCTCAGGTTAACTGCCTTAAAAATAACAGTTATGTTATCTTAAGTCGATTTTGATAAGAAGAGGACTTTTTAAACTCAGAGCTGCTATAATGAGAATTTTTAGATTAACAAAGCCACATTAAGCCACATATGAAAAGAGTGACAAAGTGCAACTTTGTTGTTGTTAGTTGTTTTTGTTCTCATTGTATGGCAGCTATTTTTTTCAGCAAAAAAGCTTTGATAATCCCATCGGATACTCAGCAACAGTGAGCAGACAAACAAAGTTAGCAACTATCTTGGGGACACAACAAAGCTTTTAGTAACTAAAGACCCAGAAATTCCCATTAGGAATTGTTGGAGATTGAACTAAATGCTAAACAGGACTTATTATGGTAATTTTCAGCTTCATGTTTTTTATTTTTGGAGTTTAATTGAGTAACTCTGCATGATTAATGGTTCAAGATGAGCCTCATTTGTCTTATACTGGTGCTCTGGTTCATAAATTGCCTTTAAAAAGTGCAATTTAAGCACCTCCCCCTTAAAAACCGTATTCCCTTTAGGTTAACTTTATTCTGAGTTGCCTACACCTCACAAACATAAAATGTGAAGAGCATGTGGGTTGCTCATCAGTTTTCACAATCCAAGCTTTGTGCCATACCGAGGATATCCTCTTCTTCACATCATACAGATCCAAGAATAAAAAAACTTCCCCAAGCAAAAAGCTTACATTCACAGGACCTCATTTTTAAAAATTTGGGCATTTTATGTATAAGAAGCCACCATGTAAAAAGTAAGAAATACCACAAGTAATGTTCCCTAACAACTGGTCACTAAGAATTTTCCTTCTCTGAGTTCAGGGTTATTCTATGTCACTGTTGTGTTATCAGTTTGTTTTTGCTTCCCACAAATTTCCAAAAGTCAGTTAAGTAGGTTCATGTTTCCTTTACAGGAATATATGATGAGCCCAACTGCAACCCCAGTAATCTGAATCATGCTGTGCTGCTGGTCGGCTATGGCTCACAAGAAGGCCAAGACTACTGGATCATCAAGAACAGGTTTGTTCAATATTGTTGAAAGAAAAAGATAGCATCTGACCAAAACCTCCACTTTTTGTCACCTAAAAATGTCTTTTTCCCCCCCAATAGTTGGGGAACTGGCTGGGGTGAAGGCGGCTTTATGCGAATCGTCCGGAATGGCCAAAACGCTTGTGGCCTCGCCAGCTACGCCTTGTACCCTATTCTATGATTTAATAAGATGTGGCAGTCTCAAGGCTACGCTCTTCCATTGGACCTCATCTCCACAAATCAACAGTCAGTGCTCATACAGCCCAAATCACCTTTCTGACAGTTTAGTAAATGTTTATGAAAAGTTGAAACCTTTTAATAATGAACATGTCGCTTCTCTCAGGGACATCTTTGTGAGGTAAATAAAAAAATATAATAAAATAACCAAAATAAATGTGTGATTAATACCAGGGTCACCTTCAGCAACTCAAAAGATTAGAGCCGCCTTTGATATTTTCACTGGCTGATAGGACTAAACTGGAAGCAGACCAGTTTAGATTTGAACTCTTGCTGTTGCATTATGTGCAAAATGTAGTTTGTCAAAGTCTTACCTGAAACAGACATCCTCTAGATGGCGATATTGCTCCAAAACCTTTAGATGTTGTCCAAAATTAGTGGAGCCTTTGCCCTGTGCAGTAATGCCCCCACCCTCAACATATCATCATATACTGGATTTTGTTTTGTTTTTGTTGCCCTCCTTTTTGTGTGACCTTCATTCATAGACTTTGTGTTAAACATAGATGTAGTTTCTTAGTCTGAAAAGTGAATTCAGAGTGAAAGTAACTAAAATCTCCATTCTTTCTAACAGCCAGAAGGGGGCGACTCTTCTGGTTTAAAAAAGAACTCAAAATTGTACAGAAGTCAGTAGGAAAATGGTCCTCGGCTCCTGTGTTCTGTAACCTCAATAAACACTTTCCTCATGGATTAAAGGGCTACCTTATACACACTAACATATAGATTTTGTAGATTAGACCATATAAAGCAAATCAGGGTACCCTGTGTAAGCAATATTAGTCACAGTTGATTTGTAACTTTCATTGCCAGACTGCAACTTTTTGTTATTTTTTTTAGGCTGAAATGAGAAAAAATTGAAAATCTAAAAAGAAAAAACTGAGCCTGGCCTCAACAAGAATCTGTGAACAAACAGAACAAATGTGATGGTTATTTTAAAAGTGAGTGCAAATAAAGCTTTTAC